TGGGATTCAGACATTTTGACGAGGGACTATTTGGGCCTGTGCCGAAGACTTGGTGTTGACGACATTCCCATCTTCCCCTCTTCTTCGTCTAACCCCCGTCTTCTTCGTCTCTGTATGGTTGGGGACTGGCGCATTCTTCCTGTGTGAGCGCCAGGCCCCTTCACACCATGGAGTGATGACGATGATGTATGTTCGGGGCTGCATTACAATATTGATTGTTCGGATCATTGGTATCTAAGTCTTCCGCTACGCTATCTTGTACTTTGTGAGAGAGGTCGGTTCTTGTTCTGGTCTGCACCGTTACAGTATGCAACAGTTTGGTATCGGAGCGGACCTCTCATTCAGAGGACCCGCTCAATCAAGTAGCCAGCTTGCTTGATCTATTGATTACTCATTAGTAAATCAAGTAGGACTTCGTCAAATCTCTTAATTTTGTTTTTCTCACAACAAATATCTGAAAATTTATGATAATCGCATTTCGTTTTACCTGAAAATTTCTGATATTAGTATTTCGTTTTCACGCAACAAATATTTAAAAATTTCTGATAATCGCATTTTGTTTTATCTGAAAATTCCTGATAGTAGCATTTCGTTTCTCTCATATTCGGATACGTAGCCGAAAATTTCTGATGTTAACATTTCGTTTTCTAGGCATATTAGGATAACGATAGAAGTGGTCATATTCTCGGAAACCGGATTTATTATTTTCTGAAAATCGAATCTCCATTCTATCTCGCAAATTTTTTTAAAAACCGAAATCTTGCGAAGCCTACCAGCATTTTATTTTAGGCATATTAGGAGGTTGCCATATTCTCAAAAGCTGGATTTAGCTATTTTCTGAAATCGCATCTCTACTCTAGTTTGCAATTTTTTTTTTTCAAAATCTCATTTTGTGAAAACCGAAACTTTGCGGAACGTGGCCTAGATCTCGCTCATAGTACTCTTCTGACATACCTCACTCATAGCAGACCGAAAGATATATAAAAAAAAAAAAAGGGGGGGTGATCCTCTTCTTTTATTTTTTTAGTCTGTTGATTACGACCAGGAGGAAAGTATAGCTGGGTTGGTTACCTACCTGCGTTTTCCCTCCCACCCATCCCTTTGCATGCATTCCCGGGTTGGTACAGTGCCACGTCAGCAGTACCACGTCAGCAGTGCCACAGTGCCACGTCAGCAGTGCCCTGCCACCATGACGGGCTCAGTTTTGGGCATGTCAGGCCAACTGGCCAATGAGTCCATTGTCGAGTACCAACAGTGTTTCGAAGCTCAACTCGCACTGATCACAGCTTAGGAACAGCGTCAGGCAGCAGCTGAGGCTGCGCGCCTACAAGCTGAAGCGGCCGCAACAGTTGAAAAGCAGCGGCTTCAAGCCGAAGCCGAAGCAGATACCACGATACGCCGCAAGGAGGCCCAAGATCTGTTATAGCGGCATGAAGCCACCAGCATCGAAAAGCTCAAGTATTGGCATTTTGAACCATCTGAGCTGCACGACGACGCGGCACCAGAAGAGCAGCACAAGGAGTTCCTGGCCAAACTCGTGACCCGGTCGGTTTACACTTGTAACCACCTGCAGTCCGAGCTGGCGAATCTCTGACGGGCGGTGCGGAACCATAAGGATCTGCACGAGGATGCTACACGGGCACTTGATTCCCGTGTACAGGACTTGGAGCAATCTGCACCAAGACCAAATGCTGGCGAGTCCAACAGTGCACCCTCTACCCGCCAATTGGAGGAACGAGTTGACCACGTCGTCGCAATGCTCGGCAACATCAGCACCTTCGCTGCACCAGCCACCATCAGCAAGCAGCTGGACACCTTGAAGACCGAGGTTCAGCAACTGCACCAGCTGCCCAACAAGGATGGCAACACCACGCAACACTACAAAATGCCGACATTCCGCATCGAAAAGTTCGATGATTATACGCATCAAGACCCAGTCTCCTGGTGGGAGGGCTTTACAACGGAACTTCGGATTCTTTTCGTCCCCGAGCACTCGTACATCGGCGCGCTGTTCGTCAACTCAAAGGGAGGATGCCAGATCTGGCTTAGCCACCTGGCAACCATCCACGGCGTCGATGTCGCCGATCTGCACATGAAGATTCCTTAGGCAGATCTGACGAAGCTATGGAAGAAGCGGTTCATCGTGGACGACGCCCCGACGCTCGCCATCAACTACCTCTTCGCTATGACGCAAGGCAACACATCGACACGTGACTGGCTTACGGAATGGCAAAAGATCGCGGCGACGCCCGATCTCAAATTGCCATTTTCGCATCTGCGCCGGGAGTTCTACAACCGGTCATGTGTCGCCTTGAGCCTTGCACTTGGTGATCGCGAGCAATACGCAACCTTCGCCGAAATCATCGACAAGGCAAGGGAGATCATCAAGACCAATAGGGCGACTGCAAACGAGAAGTCGGCATGGCAGCCAACCTATGTGGAGAAAGGAAAATTCGGTCCACGTCCGCAGCATGTCGCTGCAGTCCACACGGACAACATTGTGGAAGACCAGACAGTCACCCAAGCATCACGTGACGGAGATCTGGTGGCTGCTGTCTAGCCACGAAGCAACAACCACTCCCGAGGAAAAGGGAAGGCGAAAACCGCATCGCCGGCCGGAAACGGACAGCCAGCACCTTGGGTCAAGTTTCACTTGACCGAGGCCGAATACAAGTGGCGTGGCCGGTATGGCTGCTGCTATTGGTGCAACAGCACCAAGCACAAGACCTTGCAATGCCCGGATCAAGGCAAGGAGGATGTTCGGCCTCGCATCAACTCGGGAAACTGAGTTGCGCGGGAGGTGAGGCGACTCCACCTCTCACTCCGCCAGATTCGGCCGCCTTGCTAGCGGCCTCCTACACATTTGGGGAGGATGCGAATGTCGCAAGTCCTCGGTTCACTTACGAGGATTATGCTGTCCACTTGGTCCCACCGTTGGACCAATCACTCCACGTGCAACAATCCACCGCATGCATGGTTTCACTACCATTAGCAACTGAGTCGGCAACTTCGCCGCCATCTATTGCCCGGGATTCGACACATGGTCAAGACTTGAAGAGCTCGACCCGTTGACGTTTGGGGACTTCCAATGGATGCCCCTTCCCCGGTCCGGTTGATTGCCGAAACCGCATTGCAACGTGCTTATGGCACAATTGCGGGATTACTTGCACACTGCAGTACCAACTTCGTTGATAGACGTCGGAGTAGAGGTTGTCGACCTTCACGCCTACATTGCGAAGATCGACCGCGAGTTCAAGACACAACGGTACGATGACATCGACGCACCATTGTTGTACATACGCATAGAGATTGGAAAGGCGACCCGCAACGCTTTGATCGATTGCGGAGCTACTCGCAACTACATGAGCCAAGACTTTATGGTACGCGTTAGCCTTGGGCCACGCGTTCGGAAGAAGTCGCAGCCCACACAAGTCACGTTGGTCGACGGTCACACGCACAAGTCAATCGACCGGTGCATTAATGCCGTCCCCGTGTACTTTGCCCCACATGCAAGCGAGGCCGTGTCCTTCCATATTTTGGACACCAAGTTCGACATGATCTTGGGCATGTCATGGCTGCGAAGCGAGGATCACCCGGTGAACTTCTACCTCCGCACCGTTCGACGTTCACGTTCGTGATCGGAACGGAGTACTAGTCCCATGCACAGTGCCTCCTCCTCGCCTTTCGATCAGTAGCCACGTGGTGTCCGCCGCAAGCATTCGAGCTTTCATCATCCGAGATGACATCGAGGAGATGGGGGGGTGTTTTCTCCACCCCCTCCCGCCCCAAGACATTTCATCGACGGAATCACCACCGGACCCATGCATCACCGAGCTTCTTGACGCCTACGGCGATGTGTTCGAAACATCGTACGGAGTAGTACCAGATCGGCCCATCCTCCATGAGATCTTCCTCGAGGACGGGGTCGTACCTCCGCGTGGTTGCATCTACCGCATGAGCGAGGAAGAGTTAAGTGTGCTAAGGGCACAACTGGACGATCTTCTTGAGAAAGGATGGATTTGGCCTAGCTCTTCGTCATACAGTGCTCCCATTCTCTTTGTCCGAAAGAAGAACAAGGAGTTGCGGTTGTGCATCGATTATCGCAAGCTCAACGCGCAAACCGTTAAGAACGCCAACCCTCTTCCGCGCATCGACGACCTCCTCAAACGACTTGGCGGCGCCAAGTTCTTCTCCAAGCTTGACCTCAAATCGGCATATCACCAACTCGAGATCCGGCAGGAGGACCGCTACAAGACCGCGTTTAAGACGGGATATGGGCATTTCGAATGGCTGGTTATGCCTTTTGGCCTTACGAATGCCCCGGCCACATTCCAAGCGGCTATAACAACTGAGTTCCGACACATGCTGGATAGATTCATACTCATCTACCTCGACGACATCTTGGTGAACAGCCGGAGTTTGGACGAGCATGTGGAGCACCTGTGCACCGTTTTGGAGCGGCTACGACAAGCCACGTACAAAGCCAACCGCGACAAATGCGAATTCGTGCGGCAAGAGTTGGAATACTTGGGACATTATGTGACGTCGCAAGGCATCCGTCCGCTTGCGGACAAGATCGAGGCCATCCGCGTATGGCCCAAGCCCACCAACACCACGAACGTCCATTCATTCATGGGGTTGGCAGGCTACTATCAACGCTTCATCACCGGGTACTCAAGGATTGTCGCACCTATGAGGCTGTGACGAGATTACAATCGCCAAAGGTGCCATTCGTATTCGATGACGATGCACGTCGGTCATTCCAAGCACTCAAGACGGCCATGCTCATGGCACCCGTCCTTAGCATCTACGACCCCACCCTGCCAACGAGAGTGACAACCGACACTTCCGGCTATAGCATTGGGGCAGTCTTGGAACAACACGACGGCGACGACTGACACCTTGTGGAGTATTTCAGCCACAAAGTGCCTCTCGTCAATTCACTTGATGATGCAAGGAAGAAGGAGCTGCTCGCGTTCGTGATGGCTCTCAAGCGATGGCGGCACTTCCTCCTTGGGCGTCGAAGGGTCACATAGGTCACGGACAACAACCCATTAACCTACTACTAGACGCAGGATACGGTGAGCAGCACGGTCGGACGATGGATGTACTTCATCGACCAATTTGACTTCACACCGAAACATCTCCCCGGCCTCTCCAATCGCGCAGTAGATGCACTATTGCGAAGACCTGATCTTTGTGCGATGACACATCATGCTTTCGCATTTGATGAGGAACTCCAGCGACACTTCGTCTGGGGCTATGAGTCTGATCCGGATTTTGCCACGTTGTATGAGCAACTATCTTCGGATCACCCGCTGGCCAGCCACTATCGCATCGTCGACGGGTACTTGCTCTTCCACTCAAGAGGCAAGGACTTATTGTGTGTCCCATGCGACCGTCGTCTTCGGACTCGCCTTCTCGGTGAGTACCATGACTCACGACTCACCGACCATTTTGGAGTCAATCGCACTATTGCACGACTTCGGCAACGATTCCGATGGTCTGACCTCATTACCGATGTCACTCGGTATTGCGACTCTTGCGAAGTTTGTCGACGAAGCAAGCCCCGCAACCGCAATCCCTACGGCGAGTTGCGCCCGATGCCTATCCCACAGGAACCCGGCCTCTCCATTGCCATGGACGTCACCGGTCCGTTTCCCCGCGACCGGCTCGGGCACGACGGCATCCTCACGGTCGTTGACCGTTTGAGTAAGTATGCGCGAATTTTTCCTTGCAAGTACTACGCCACAGCTCCCAAACTTGCGCGCCTCCTACACACCAGCTGCATTTGCAGCCACGGCGTGCCGGAAGACATCGTCAGCGACCGCGACACTCGTTTCATGTCGGCATTTTGGACTTCTCTCATGCAGGAATCTGGCACGAAGATGAAACCAAGTTCGGCTCGGCATCCACAAACGGACGGGCAAACGGAGCGAGCACATCAAACCGCTCAAATGATGCTTCATATGCTCATCCGTCCAGATCAGAAGGATTGGGTTGACCGCCTCCCCGACATCGAGTTCGCCTACAACACTTCATTGCATCCGGCGATCGACGTAACTCCATTTGAGCTGCACCACGGTGGCCGGAAAGGTCGTATCTTCGCGGAGCTTCTCCTCTCACGAACAGCCGACATAGACGTTGCTTGCTCCCCCGCTTCCGTTTGGAAGTACAGGCAATTGCTGGCTCAAGTCCGCGCGAACATGCAAAAGGCTCAAGTCCGCATGCAGCAGCAAGCCAACAGGCATCGCGTGCCATGTCCCATCCGCGCCGGTGATCTGGTGTGGGTCTCCGCGGAAGAGTTTGCACTCGAACAGGATGTTCACGCAAATTGCTTCCCAAGTGGTTTGGACCATGCCCATAACATCAGCCGCGGGCGATGAGCCCAATGGCCCCTCATTTGTGATCAACATTCCCCCGCATCTGACGGTCCATCCAGTCTTTCACGCCTCGAAGCTGGCAACATATACACTAGCCAAGAGCGACGACTTTCCGGGCCGAAGATCGCAAGATCCTCCATCTATGGATGGTCATCAGGAGGTTGACCGCGTCATCACGGATCGCAAGTACGGCAACAAGCCTCGACAGTACAAAGTTACATTCAAAGCATGCGATCCCGACGACACTCGGTGGATTTCAGGAACAGATTTGAAAACATCCGCACCGCTGATCTACGCTCACTACGAGCGACAAAGGTTAGCTCAGGGACCTTCACGACCTGCCCCTCCCACCCGGACTGTGGTCCCTCCCTCAGACAGACAGCTTTGCCCTCGCCGGTAAGCTTGGTCATTCAAGGAGGTGGGGGTGTGGCATACTGCGCAGCCACACGGGCCTGCAGGGCCTGTCCCACAGTCTCAGCCTAAAAGCCTAGAAACAAGGGCTGACAGGCCCCGTGTCGTTATAGCCTGAAAGACTGAAAAACGAGGGCCTGCAGGCCCGATGTCGTTTCAGCCTAAAACAGGGCCTTTCAAGCCCTGAGTCTTTTCAGCTGAAACGGAGGGCCACTTTCGGGCCCTCATAAGATCGACCTGCCCTAACATTCAGGCACCAAACCAGGGTTTCGGAACAGGATATTTTTGGCCTGTTCCCCACGCCAGCCTCAGCAGGAGCTGCAGCGGCAGGCCGTGGCTCACTTCGGCATTGGCAAGAGCAGCCTCCTGGACTGCCCCGCCCTGCAGCTGCAGGCAGTCAGGAGGCAGGCCGAGTAGTACATAGGGAGTTCCCATGCACTTCACGGGCAGTCAGAGGCCGAGGCAGTAGTAGTCTTCAGGATTCGGCAGCAGCACTCTGGAGGAGCGCTGCAGGAGTAGCTTAGCGCTAGCAGTAGTCTTCAGCGCTGGGCGCTAGTAGCAGTAGCAGTAGTCTTCAGCGCTGGGCGCTAGTAGAGGTAGAGGAGGCGAGAGAGAGAGATGGCTGGTGGAGGCCAGGGAGAGTTACCTGTGGCCCCATAGCTCCAGCTCCATCTTCAAGGTACCTGCATCAAGGCGCCAACTTCACAGGTTAGTACCAGACACAGAGAGAGAGAGAGAGAGAGAGAGAGAGAGAGAGAGAGAGAGAGAGAGAGAG